GTCTGTATTTATGACAGACATATAGAAACATATTATAGATACGTGTGTATACATTGGTCAGTATATATACATTATATACATATTATTTCCTAACTTTGTCCCCTGAGAAGGCCTAAGAAGCAGTGATACCCCAGTAACTATGAGTCTATGAGTACACCCTGCTCATTTAGTAATCAGATCTTAGTTTCTTTAAAAAAGAAAAAAAAAAAGGGAGGGGAGAGACCATATGAAAAGATTATAGGTGCCAACATCAAAATGGCCAAAGCTGGAAAAATCTGAGCAACAAAATATAGTACTGGATTATAACTAAAGGAAAAAATAAATATTCATGAGTCTGTATTGACATAAATGATTTAATAAATAAATAAATGGAGAGGAGGCATAAATCTTCCTTACAGAAGAATTCCAAATAATAAAAGTAGAAAGAATGAGGGAAATAGAAAATTATTAGAACACAATAATTGCTGCTACAGGCAAGTTTTACTGATGAATGCTACAAAACTTTAAGGAGAAATCAGATCTCTGTATAGCTTCACAGTATTTCTCCCAAAATATTTATTAATTACTGTAGTGATTTTAACATATGCCCACAAATTCTTTGATTCTCCTCCCTTCAAGAGGTGGAGCTTAATTTCCTTCACCAGGAGTATGAATTTGACATGGTGACTCATTTCCAGCTTCTAACAAAGTCAAGAAACAGAAAAATAGTCACTTCACAGTAGAGAAACATGACCTTAAGTTATCAAAGTTAACATCGATAATGAGTCATGTTGATATCAGGTATCTGTGATATGATGTAATAAGTAGGACATATCATCTCTCTGGTATTCTTCCCCAAAATGCATAACCTCAGGCTAATCATGAGAAAATATTAGAAAACCACAATGAGGATCATTCTACAAATACCTGACCATTACTCTTCAAAGGTCTTAACAAGAGATAGGCAAGGTGAGACCAAGAAACTGTCACGGATTGCAGGAAACTAAAGAAACACCACATCTAAGTGCAATGTGATATCTGGGACTGGATCTTATAACACAAAGGACATCAGAGGAAAAACTAGGGAAATCAGAGGAAAGTCTGTAGTTTAATCAATAATATACTAATTTCAATTTTGTAATTTTGATAAATGTATCAGGTTATATAAAATGATGACACTAAAAGAAGCTGGATGAAGAGTATAGAGAAATTCTGTACTATCTTTACAACTTCTGTAAATCTAAATCCATTTCAAAATAAAGTTTTTAAAATTTTATTTTCCTTGTAAAAGTTAGGAAAAGTGAAGAAAAGGCATAAATAAATAAAGATATTTAACTATATGCAAACTAATAAGATAGGTTTTATGGTAAGAAGATTAACTTTTTTTTTTTTTTCTTTGAGACAGGGTCTCACTCTATTGCCGGGGTAGAGTGCAGTATCATCATAGCTCACTGCAACCTCAAACTTCTGGACTCAAGTGATTTCTCCTGTCTCAGCCTCCCAAGTACCTGGGACTACAGGAACAGGCGAACACCACCACGCTCATCTAATTTTTCTACTTATCATAGAGAGAGTTTCACTGTGTTACTCAGGCTGATCTGGAACTCCTGGCTTCAAGCGATCCTCCAGCCTCAGCCTTCCAAAGTGCGAGGATGTCAGGCGTGAGCTACCAAACCCAGCCAGATTAACTTTTTTAACCTATAAAGAATCACAAAAGTAGTTCGGTGGTTCACACCTGTAGTCCCAGCTACTCAGGAGGCTGAGGCAGGAATCACTTAAGCCCAGGAATTTGAGGTTGCAGGGAGCTATGAGGCCACTGCACTTGAGCCCAGGTGACAGAGCGAGACCTTGCCTCAAAAAAAAAACAAAACACAAAAGTAAACTGGGTTGACTTTCAAGCTTAAATTTTTACTAACATTCAAAATAGTTCATCAAAAGGTCTGTATTGAGAGATTAGCCTAGAGAGCCCTAAAATGATAGATGATTATGATCCCTCCTCTATATCAATTTGCTTTATTCCCCTTCTTGACTTTAATTGTCCTCAACACACTCACCCCTAGCAATAAGTCCACAGTAACCTGGTTCTAAAAGTGTCATTTAGAAAGACAAAGTGAAACCAGTGATATTTACTTGGTTTCCTTTTCAAACTGACTAAATCAAATGAACCACTAAGATGCCTTCCAACGGGTCAAAATGTTCCTCTCAGATTTTCTTGCTTTTTAAGGAAACTAAAACCTACACATCAAACACTCGTGCTTAAAGCAAAAAAAAAAAGGAAAAGTGATGCCAAAAATGTGAAGTGTCAATAGCAAAAGTTTACACCAAAGGATGGATCGCCACATTCAGAAACAAGATTAGGAAAAAGAACAAAGACACTGAGATCAGGAAGAACCAACACTCCGACTAAAGTTAAGCCACCTAGAACATAAGAAAATCCAGGTGCTTCCTTCTTCACTGTCAGCAAACAATGGAAAATGATTTTTTAACATGTAATGTGAACTTATTTGTAAATTTAAGAATTTTAACACAAAGATGTTGGGATGACAAATATATGAAGAGATGACTTAAAAATAAAACAAGTAGCACTCTGGGAGGCCGAGGCGGGCGGATTGTTTTTGCTCAGGAGTTTGAAACCAGCCTGAGCAAGAGCGAGATCCCGTCTCTACTAAAAATAGAAAGAAATTAATCGGACAACTAAAAATATATAGAAAAAATTAGCCAGGCATGGTGGCGCATGCCTGTAGTCCCAGCTACTCGGGAGGCTGAGGCAGAAGGATCGCTTGAGCCCAGGAGTTTGAGGTTGCTGTGAGCTAGGATGATGCCACGGCACTCTAGCCCAGGCAACACAGTGAGACTCTGTCTCAAAAAAAAAATAAAAAATAAAAATAAAATAAAACAAGTGAGACAGAGTGGGAAAATGTGTTAAGACATTCCCCAGCACCGCCCCACATTAACATGTGCATTCTTACATTGGGGAAAGGGAGATGCATTAGGCTTCTGCAACTTGATTAAAATACTTTCTAAGAGCATTCAATGCCTTTCATTCCAATTCTATAATCAATTGCCTTCTTATTACTAATTAGGCTGCCCAGAACAATGGAGGTGTCCTGGCCAGTGGATAATGAAATCCTATTGTGTACATGGCACTTAATACTTTCCACATACATAAACTGGTATCTGGTTTATCAGTCTCCAGTGAGTTTACATTGAATGAATTAATTCCCAAGCACTTGAATCATCCCTGTGTGAACCAAAATTCTAAAGTCTCTTGTGGAGGTCAGAGAGAACTTGGTCTGAATGCCACTTATTCCACTTAACTATCTGTATGATCACTTATTCCCCTCAGTCTCAACTTCCTTATCTGTAAATAAATACAACTAGTGCCTGGGAGATGGCAAGTGCTCAAAAAATGGTAGCTTTATTATTTTTAAGCTAAATTTGAAAGGAAGAGCATAACCGAGGTAAAAACATTTCATTTGAAAGGAAGTAGTATTGACCATCAAACTACATCAATTTAAAAGACATCCCCTGAAGAGAAATGTCCCAATCTTGAGAGCTGAGGAAAGCAAAGCTAAAAAGTTGCAAGTAAAGTACCTGCTGCACTGTACAGATGGAGTCTCTTGCTTAGCAACTCTAATGTTGTCTACCAAACATTCAGCCTGTAATAGTTAGAGCATGACAACTGTTCACTCTAAATCCATGTACTCAGCTTGGATTCAGGTTGATTTATAAAAATAGCTGCTGCTGCTCTTTGAATCTCTTTGCGCTGATGACTGGGCAGTGTTACCCTATAGGCCTAGAGCAGCTGTATTCCCTCACCACACCCATTTCTCTGCCTACCCAGCCAAGCTGACGGCACCCCGCTCCCATCTCTGCAGCATACTATTCTCCCTCCTCCTGGGCTGAGTGAGCAAATTACAAGCACAAATATCCCCTGATGCAATGCCACAACTATCCCTGGGAAAGAGCAGAGGCAGTTGCCAAAAGCACAGCAGCAGGGAAATGGGCGGGAGACACACACACACAGAGCAAGAACACTGCAGTGCTATGCAGCCAGGGAGAGAATCGAGAGGCCCTGGGGAGCAATACTGTAACTGGACCAGGGGAGGAAAAGGAGAAAAGGGGGTTTCCAGTAGAAAGCTAGGTAACACTAACCTTCCCGAGGAGAACATATTTCACCCCGGTCTGGATCCTAAAACACAACCCTAAGGGTAATCACTGCTTCCCCCGCAAAGCAGCAAATGCATTTAATTTACACGTTCTTGGAGGTAAGCAAAATCCCTAAAACTCCAACACGCTGCAATTTCACTGAAACTCAGGCAACATACCAGCGTAGAATTTGTTCTATGTGTTAAATTACAACTTCTAATCTCGTTAATGTTTCCAACTGCCCCTCCTAGTCCCTGTCTCCACCCTCCCACCCCCACCCTTATGCGACCCCTTCACACTCCCGCAGCCAGACACATGCTTTTAGTTCCCAAACAGTGCCAGAACCAGGACCACAGGAAGAGCCCCGGCACGGGCCCGGTTCTCCAGACCACCCCTCAGCCCCACCCATAACCGCTGACTGGACACCCTCTCTAAGGCTTGCCTCAGTTCCACATCAACTAACCTCCCTAAAGCCTCAGAAAACGACGCTAGAGTTCTCCCATCTCCCCGAACCCCACCCAGGGCCCTTGACTGCAGCCGACCCTCGCTCCCCGGGCTCAGCCCCATCGAGAACCCGAGGCATGCCACTCGGCCCCACGGCCCCAGACCCCCGAAACCGGACCTCTCAGCCCGCCTCGACCCACGGCCTCCCGAGATCACGCCTAGAAGACTCAGAAGGTCACGCCCGCAGGCCCCCCGGCCAGTCCCCTCCCTCAGCCGCCCCCGCGTCCCTCAGGCCGTCGGCCACCGCCCTTCCCCGCCTCGGGCGGGCCTTGAGGGGTCCCAGGCGGCTGCGGGGCGAGATTCAGGCAGCCTCTGGTACAGTGAGGAGGCCGTCCCCCCGATCGGGCCCCGCCTGTGGCTGCACCTACCCGCCGCAGCCGAGCCGGAGCTGGAGCCGGAGGGAGCCGAGAGAACGCCGGGACGAGCCGGGATATGTCGGCAGGAGCGAGAAACCAGCAAGCAAGCCCAAGGGGCGGGGCGCAGGGAGGCGGCCGCTTCCTCCTAGTCTTCTTGAGGGCCGGCGCTAGGGAGGGGCGCCGCCACCGCCTACCCAGCAGGCGCCGCCACTCCGACCAATGAGCGCGGGGTGGGGGCGGGCGGAGGGCTGCGGCGAACCAATGGGCGCTGTCCCCGCCACCTCGACCTCTCCATAGAAGCTGCGCGAGCGGCGGACGGATGGGGGCGAGGTGTGCATAGGGGCTTCAAACTCCCTCCTCTCGCCCGCGAATGCCGAAGAGGACAGCAGACCGACCGGCCGCCTCCACTGTTTTGTGATGACCGTGGCTTCCTTTTAGAGCTTGGGCTCCTAGAGCTGGGAGCATGCGAAAGTCAGGGCGCACGCGGCCGGCGCCCGGGTCTCCCTAGCCAGCGGGCTTGTGAGTTCTGTGATGTAACCTGGGAGGGGCGCGGGGCGGGGTTTAGGGCTCGGGCCAACTGGTCTTTGGAAGGAACTCCTAGGAGGGCTGAGTAGAGGAGGCGACTGGGGAGGCCTCTGAAGGGCTCTGCTTCCTCGAGCCACATGTGGTTGGTGAGCTCTTGGAACCTGGCTGGTCCAAGTTGAGATGTGCTGTAAGTGTAGAATACACACCAGATTTTCAAGACTTAGTACAAAAAATACAAAATAAATCATTCTAATCTTTTTTACTGATTACAAGTAGGATATTTGATTACAGTTTGGAGTATATTTGGTTAAATAAAATGTATTTAGAATAGGCCAGGTGCTGTGGCTCACACCTGTAATCCCAACACTTTGGGAATGGGAGGAGGATTGCTTGAGGCAAGGAGCTCAAGACTAGCCTGGGCAACATAGCGAGACCCCATCTCTACAAAAAAAATTTTTTTTAATTAGCTGATGGCCCAGGTCTGTAGTCCTAGGTACTCCTAGGCTGAGGTGGGAAAACAGCTTTAGCCCATCAGTTGGGGATTACAGTGAGCTATGATCAGGCCACTGCACTCCAGCCTGAGCGACTGAGCAAGACCCTATCTCTAAAAATATGTATATATAGAGAGAGAGAAAATAATTTCATGTTTCTTTTAACTTTTTAAAATGTGGCTGCTAGAAAACTTAAAATTACTGTTTGGTTCACATATTTCTGTTGGGTAGCAGTGGTCCAGAATGAATAGTGATGACTAACATCTATTGAGTGCTTTCTGACACTAAACTCATTTAAGCATCACAACAATCCTATACGGTTGCTAATTCCCACTTTACAAAAGAGGAAACAGAAGTTTAGTAACTTACCTAATGTCAGCAACCCACTATTTATTGAGTGGGCTTTAACTCCAGTAGCCAGGTGCTGGAGCCACATTCCCAACCTCTAGATCATGCTGATTACCAGAAAGAACACTGGTCTTGGTTGAAAGTCCTGGTTTTGAAGTCCAGCCTGCTACTTTCAAACTGTATAACCTTGGGGAAGTTAAGTTTCAGTTGCCTCATTTATAAAAATGAGATAATAAGTGGGACACAGTGGCTCGTGCCTGTAATCCCAGTACTTTGGGAGGCCAAGGCAGGAGGATCACTTGAGTCCAGGGATTTGAGACTAGTGTGGGCAACATAGTGAGACCCTGTCTTTTCAAAAAAATTTTTTTTAAATTACCTGTGCATGATGGCACCTGCCTGTAGTCCTAGATACTCAGGAGGCTGAGCTAGGAGGATCATTTGAGCTCAGGAGTTTGAAGCTGCAGTGTGCTATGATCATGCCACTGTACTCCAGTCTGGGAGACAGAGAACCCCCATCTCTTAAAAAAAAAAAATGAGATAATAATCACCAGCCTCTCTCAGAGAGTCACTCACAGGATAATCTAGAGGTAGCATACAAAGGTGGTTAAAATAGACTCTGGCCTCAGATTCCCTGTGTGCAAATGTGGGCACTGCTACTTATAAGTTATGTGACCTTGTATTAATAGATGATATTTAATCTTTCTCTTCAACTGTAAAATGTAGAAAATAAAGGTCCCTATGTCATTAGGGTTATGTGGATCAAATATGTTAATATGTGTAAAGTGCTTAGATTGATGCCTAGAGCACTTAGCAAACACAGAATTTACTATTATTGTCATAGTGACTCTACAGAAGTGTTAAGAGCCTACACAGATACGAAGAGATTAAGAGTCAAAGAATAAGTGCAAAAGGTATAGAACTATGAATTTGGGCCCCTGGAAAGGACTTCAGAACAGTTCCACAGAACTAAAATGAGTGATCTGAGTCACACACCAATTATTTAATGAAACCAGCTGTCTTGGGCCCAAACCCAGAGCTTTGCCTTTCCCTCTTTCACATGCTTATCCAGACTCCAATGTAAGGGAACTACCATTGCAAACCTGAATTCATTCACCCAACAGATATGGATTAAGTGCCTGCACATCAGGAAGGGCCACACAGTGAGTTAGGCACTTGTACAAAGATAAATAAAGTAGGTTTCCTTTTCTGGTGAAATTAACATCACTTCACACCAAAGCCCCAGATTTTGTCTAATCATGAATTTACTATTGTAGAAAAGCACAGGTGGAAGCTGAAAAGTTACTGTGATCCTTCCTGCTGCATGGAGTAGACAGCCTAAAGGCTTGTCTCAGACTTCGTGAATAAATTTGGCTTTGAGCTCCTTAGTAGTCAGATGACTAGGAAAGCTCAAAAGTGTTGAAATCCTCCGTTCCTTCTTTAAGTTAATAGAATCATCGTATTATGTGTACCCGAGCTAGAGACCCAAAAGTCATTCTCAGTTATTTCCTTCCTTCACCTCTGAGGCCTAGATGCTCCTGCCTCAGAAACCTCTCCATCAACACTGATGCTATTCTGGTTCAGTACCGATCTCTTTCCTGTATACTGCTGCAGCTTCTTCCAAGCCTTCCCCTTGCCGGTCAGTCTAAGCTTCATAACCTTATGTACTGCCGCCTCCCATTCATAATACCCTATTGCACCCCTCCCCTTTTTTTAAAGACAGGGTCTCACTGTGTCACCCAGGCTGGAGTACAGTGGTGTGATCACAGCTCATCTCAGCCTCAAACTCCTGGGCTCAAGTGATCCTCCTACCTCAGCTTCACGAATAGCCGGAACTACAGGTACATGCCACCACGAATGGCTAAATTTTTTAGGTTTTGTAGAAAAGGGGTCTCACTGTGTTACCCAGGCTGGTCTTGAATTCTTGGGCTCAAGTGATCTTCCCACCTTGGCCTTCCAAAGTGCTGGAATTACAGGTACAAGCCACCACACCCAGCCCCTCTTGCACCCTTTTTATGCCCTTCTACTACAACATTCACCACATACGTAGTAATTATTTGTGTAAATATGGATCTACCCTAATAGGTTGCATCTCAAAAAGTCCAGGTTCATTCTGTTTCCCTGCTTCCAGTGGAAAAGAACATTCCCTCCAGTTCTAGGGTGCCCAGGATGAAAAGCATTAGAACCTTAGCATCTCAGAATTGGAAAGCATCTTAGCAAATATCCCACGTCTAAGGGTGTAT